TCGTCTCCGAATGATTTGCTTGATTCATCTTTTTGGTTAATGTGGTGCCCATTGTGGAATTTAGAGGAATTTTATCATACTTTGCTCCTGTTCGTGACTCGTCTATGGCACCTGGATGGCCCTGGGTGATAGCTTCCTCCCTAGAAGATCCACTAGAGGAGACTGATAGTCAACGGCATATCATTGGGGGATCCGTAGATCTTTGATAACATTCTCGACAGTCGACGCTATCGATTGCATCAACTTTGATGAGTGTGTGTTCTGATATTTCTGAACGAGTGACACAGGTGTTGGTCCGCTGGCAGCTGGTACTGCATGAGTGGAATTAGACGAATCATTGCCTTTTCCAGTCTCAACACTGGCGTCTAAAAGGGCTACCAGGTCGGTATCGATGGGTAGAGAACCAAGAAATCTGAGACCGTCGCGTTCGCACATTGCCTTTCCGCCCCCAGTGGAAAAGACGTTGCTGACTTCTCCACAACATGGACATACGTATCCAGACATGTTTTCGATCAGCCCAATGACTGGAAGGTTGACAGTGCGAGTGAAGGTTAAGCATTTGCCCATATCTGTGAGCGCCACAACTTGGGGGGTTGTGACGAGCACGGACGAAAGTTTATCATGCACAGGTGCTAGGTGCTCCAGAAGGGATAAATGTTCGTCGGATGTTCCTATTCTGTATCAGTCCTGCTGCCTTTCATTTCGCAAGGTCGGACATACCTGGAGGAGTATCGATTACTAAGTAGTCCAGCTCGCCCCATCGTACGTCGCTGAGAAATTGACGGATCATTGCATTTTTCTTAGGTCCTCTCCATACGACAGAGTCCTCCTTCCTCTTGAGCAAAAAGCCCACAGACATGCACACCAATCGCCCTTGCTCACCATCCACAATGACGGGAATCCAGCCATCTGTGCTCTGATGTACTGCGTGTCCATCAACGCCCATCATACGAGGGATAGAAGGGCCAGTAAGGTCGACATCCAAAATCGCCACTCGAGCATTTGGAGAAGTATTGTAGAGGGACAGAGCTAGTTGGACGCTAACAGATGACTTTCCAACACCACCCTTTCCTGACAAGACGATTATGATATTCTTGACATTTTGTAGTCGCCTGGCAATGGGAGTAGTCATATCCTAGGCGAAGCAGAAGGCAAAGTGTGAAGAATTTATTCTCAGCTTTTGGCTATGGCCACGTCCGTGACAGAACCACTATTGGCTACCATTGAACCAGATGAACTAGCTCCTGCCGCTGCTCCTGCTCCTACGGGGAACATTTCTTCAAATTCAAATGCTAGAGCGTCTGTAGTACTCACACCTACAAACCGCGCAGCTACAAGTACAACGCCAGGCGACTTAGAGGCTGGTAAGAGATCAATATATATCTCATTAGGTCTGCTAATGCATCCATCAACATTATAGGGATTGCCGGCATATTCAGACAGGTTCCTACACTTTACCACGACGACCGAGCGTATACTCAACATCATCGCAGTCGTCACATCCCGTTGCGTTATTCTTCATGTATCTATTCAAAATAGGGGCCATCGTTATCTACCTATTGGGAGGCTTCTTCACCGACGATTATGTGCTATCAGTGCGTCTACCCTATCACACCCGAGTATCATCTATTCTTAATGATCCTACAGACAGTCCTAGTAGTGGTTCTTCTCTCCGTCGATTTCTGGAACTGTAGGGTTCGTGAAGGCTTTCCCATCAGATACGGCCCAGCTGATAATTTCCAATAGAACGTGGCGGGCCGAACTCTAGTTGGATTACGGTTCTGGAACCAAGTAAGTTCTGGGAATCTCCCTTGAATGGAAAGTGGTAGCTCACCTGCCGATAGGTTGACGAAGACGGACAGAGTTACTGGGTATTCGAGTCTCGAGACGTAAGAGGTCTTCAAATTCAGGCGACAAACATACTTATTATATATCAGCCATCAAGACCAGCAAACCCCATTGACTCCAGGTTTGTATTCTGGTTCGCTGATCACCATGTTCTGACCAGTTGTCCCACACCTTAGGATGTTTTGGGTACGATAGCCCTCTTACCTTCCAAGTTGCAAACTAAATGAAATCTAGACTGCATTATACGTCTTTCCAGTATTATGGGTGCTGATTTTCATCCTCTCAATCCTCAAGCTAAACTTCTTGTTATTTGCTCTCCAGTCGGACCATACTTCTCGACAGGGTTCAAACCAGTCGCTCTACTTGGTACAACTGAATACACCCGCGCCGCTCCAGGTGGAACTGGAGGCTATAAGCTTGGTGCAAACTATTCGCCTGGCATTGTACCACAGAAAGAGGCGGCCAAACTTGGTTATAGCCAGAACTTATGGCTAGTTGGTCCAGAACATCACTTGACTGAGGTAAGACCAGTTCCTTTATATTATGATCAGCGATACTCAAGAAACACAGGTAGGAACCATGAACCTATTTGTCGTACTGCGAAGGGATGATGGCGCCGTTGAGCTTGTGACCCCTCCTCTGGATGATCTTATCCTACCTGGTGTTACGAGAGATTCCGTCCTGGTACTCGCTAGGGAGCATGCATCAAAGAAGAACCCCATCTCAGGTTTACCAGATAATTTGGTAGTTTCCGAGCGCCCAATTAGTATGAAGGAAGTCAATGAGAAGGCCAAATCAGGTAATTTACTGGAGATATTTGGCACAGGTAAATCCCAAATTATCATATCAGACGTCTACTATAATACTGACATTGACTAGGAACCGCTGCTATCATCTGCCCCGTGAACAGGATAGGTTACCTGGGAGAGGATATTAATGTTCCCGTAGGAAATAAGGGCATTGGTGATGTAGCCAATGGCTTCTTGCAGGAGATCGTCGGAAGACAAATGGGTACCATCCCAAGTGAATGGAGTGTGGTCGTCTCCGAATGATTTGCTTGATTCATCTTTTTGGTTAATGTGGTGCCCATTGTGGAATTTAGAGGAATTTTATCA